TCTTCCTCTTTTTGCCTAGCTTGTTCTTCCTCTAACTCTGCAACCTCATCAGGATCTAAGTTATTCTCAAAGTCTTCTTTTAACAAGAAATTATCATCAGGAGGGACATATAACTCTTTTGGAGGAGCTGATGATTTAATCTCATTTTGTCCTGAAGCCTCCCATCTTTCTTTCCTCTTTTTCTCTAACCCTACAAGTTTCACTTTCTCAGTCCTGTGCTGCATATACAGACTATTTATAATTAAATTCCATACAAAAAACATGAGGCTACTGCCTTGTCCCATTTTTTTACTCTAGAATTTTACTCACCACACCCTTTTCTCTTTATGATCTGAGCTTGCCAACACCCGAGGTCTCCTTCACTGCTTCCCTGTATTTCAAGACCCCTATTCAGGCACCAAACTGCTGGAGCCAGCCAGCAGAGTCAAATAGTTCTTTAGTGGGGAGTAAGGAGTGAAAGAAAATTTTTAAAAATAAATAAATAATAAAAAACAAGACACTACACATGGGATCTGTTCGAGAGGGCTTCCAGTAGAAGCTAGGCATCTGGTTTATTCCACAGTCCCTTATTATAGTCAGAGCAAAGCACTTGGATACAATGAAGTTCAGCGGGAAGTCAAACCTGTTTACCTCGACCACCTGTCTGTATGATCCTCACACAAACAAAAAAGAAGTGAACTTGGCAAAAAAATCCTGCCTACTGTCACAAACAAAAGGAAGTGAACACATCCTGTCTATCCCTGATTACAGGTGAAGGCCAGAGTGAAAACATGTCTTTTTGCTGACAGCTCAATAATAAAGCATCATGACAAACAAGCAGCTCACACACACACACACACACACACACACACACACACATCAAAAAGCATTTACATGTGTGTGTATTATATACATATATATACATAATAAAATTCTCACATAATTTTTAAAAATTTGAATAAGAATGAATGCTAGAGAGATGTCTCAGTGGTTGAGAGCCCTGGCTGCTCTTCCAGACGACCTGGGTTCAACCCCCAGTACCTACATGAGGTGACTCATGCCTATGTATAATTCCAGCTCAGGGGATCCAATGGCCTCTTCTAGACTCTTGCATACACAAGTGCACATTCCATACATCGACACACAATCTAAAATAAGCATTTTAAAAATGAACAAAATCTGTGGGTCTTCCCTTTTCCCAGGGACTCTTGGCCACCAGTTTATAAGGTTAAGGGGAACAAAGGCAGGAGAGGAGAGACAGGGTTCAGATGACCAAGAGTACGTTGAACTGACAACCTGAACCAGCTTCATTAAGGCAGCTCAATTTTATTTGGGGGTGAACAGGAGTTATATAGAACTTTGAGGAGGGTGTAATGTAATACAGGGTGGATCGATCATTGGCTGGGGGCTTAGGTACAACAGACCTGTTTTTTTCAACCTGTGGATCCCATGATTACTTTCAATCACCTTTGACATCTAGGAAATCTCTACAGAGACACCCCCCCCAATCTTAAAATGTAAAATCAATCCACTAAAAATAAGTAACCGATGTGAAATCACCTGTATGTAATTACTTCTTCACAACCAACCAAATGGACACAGGCATCAGCAGAGTCATACCAGCTCTCACCACCAGAGGGCACGCCAGGTGCAGCTAAGCCTCCATTGTTTAGAGGTTTGACTCCTCCAAACTTCTTTACATCTTTTCCAAGTACTGAGGACTCCTGAAGTGGGCCACATGAAATGGAGAGGTTGGGCATGGTGACCCACTCTGGGCACTGGAGGGTCAAAGGCAGAAAGATCAGTAGATCAAAGTCAGCTTCTACAAAAGTCGTTCTCAACCTGTGGGTTGAGAACCTTGGGGGGTGGGTGTCAAATGACCCTTTCACAAGGGTCCCATATCAGATCTTTACATTAGGATCCATAATAGCAAAACTGCAGTCATGAAGTTAGCAACAAGGATAATTTTATAATTGGGGGTCACCACATGAGGAACTGAGTTAAAGGGTCACAGCATTGGGATGGAGAGAACCAGTGCTCCACAATTTAGTGAATTCAAGGCCATCAAAGTGGGTCAAAGTGACACTGCTCCCAAAAAAGGAGCTTAAACATAGAAAGCCTGCATGGCAGACCATGCTATTCCCAGAAGTCATGAGGTTTTGTTGTTGTTGCTGTTGTTGTTTTAATGAAACTCCCAATGCCAAGTACAGGATACCTCCCTGGAAGTTGTTGGCCTTGGAGCACACAAAAGCTCCCAAAACTGATGGAGACTTGTAATTGCTCTTAGCCGACACTGAGAATTAGACCCTGACCCTGCTGCAGAAGACACACAGAAATCCAGCTGAACGCGGTCTGAAAGCTTCCTTCCTGCTAGCTGAGGCTCATTGTGCTGGAAGGCGCTGTGCAGGATGCAGAAAGCCATCCATCTCTCACCCAGCTGTGGGCCCTGCATGCTATTTGGCCCACATGTGCACTGGTGCAGCAGTGCCCTGAAGGTTCCAGGTGTAACCAACTGCTTTCTGATTGGGTCTGATAAGGGTCAGAGGATTCATGCCTGCTGGTGTAAACCTGGCCAAAATTCTATGGCTACGGGGGTCATGGGCCCTCTGGGGAATATACTAATGTTTTCCTAGATAAACGTGTAGTCAGGCTGCCTTCTACACACTTCTGTTTATACACACAGACTAATGCAGCTCTCGGCCTTGGCCAGATAAGTCTCTTCTAGAAGCAGGCAATGGTGAAAGCAGAAACTCCAACATGGCCAAATGGCTGAGAACAGGGACTGCTTAGCAGTCAGACCTAAACAAGACATGTCTATCACTTCTCATCCAGGACCAAGAGAACATCAAAGAAAGGGCAGTGATGGAAATGCTGCAAGAATCCAGAAGACAGGGAAGGGGGCCCCAAAATGCTGTCTCCGGATACGGCACAGCCATTGCAGTCATGAACACGCAGCACCCACGGCTGCCTGCACAAGAACTGCCTCTACAACCCCCTACACAAAAAGGCATTGAAGCAGGAAGGGGAATAGTTGGAAAAGGAATAGGCGCGGCAGCAAGAGCAGGAAGGGATAAGAAAAGTTAAAATGAGGCTGGGTGGTGGTGGTACAACCCTAATCCCAGCAAATGGGAGGCAGAGCAGTTGGATCTTTGTGAGTTCGAGGCCTGCCTGGTCTACAGAGCAGGTTCCAGGACAGCCAGGGCTACACAGAGAAACCCTGTCTCGAAAAAAGAAAGAAGAAAGAAAGAAAGAAGTTAAAAGGGAGTGAATTTGACTCCAATGCATTGTATACAAGTACGAAATTATTTAAAAATTAAATTACTATAATAAAGTATAACAGATCTCTCACTGTCAGAACAATTACATCATCTCGTACCCCATATACACATCACATACACATATAGGCTAGCTGCTCTGTGCGCCAAACTGCTAAAAAGAACAGTGGAGGCCAGACTTGGAGGTGGAGCCCTGCCTGGAATACACCGGTAAGGGGCTCAGTGACAGCCACCACCCCAGTGAGGGGCCGGGGGCGTGGCTCTGCTTGAGTTGGGCCTTAAATTCAATCCTTCGCGCTGTAAGTGCAACCAAACAATAGGAAAAGACACTCCCTGTCCTCACAGTTGCAGCAAAGCCCCCAGAGTTGGTCCTCGCTGGACTAGGTGGGGTCACATGTCTTCCAATAACCACTGAGCCAAGGAAATCCTACAGTGATTGGCTCCAGCTGGGATCTGGCCTTCTTCCGCGAACTTGCTGAGAGCAGGGATATAGTCAGCCTTATTCAAATAAAACGGACTGAAACAAAATTGCGTAGGAGCTGGGTATGGTGGAGCACACCTGTAATCCACTTGGAAGGTGAACGCAGGAGAATAGAAGTTCAAGGCCAGCCTGGGTTACATGAGACTCTGCCTCAAAAAAAAATGGAGAAGAGGAGGAAGGAGACGAGGGGGGAGTAAGAGGAGGCAGCTGAGTAGGTTCCTGGGTTGAGGTGGGGAGTCATGTGGATTTCTAGAGGAAAGTCGTTTTTTCCCACGTGTGGGGGAGGGGGTCACAGGACAACTTTGTGGAGCTGGTTCTCTCTTTCCATGATCCTGGGAATGGAAAGTGGGTCCTGGGAATGACACGCTGGTCCTCAGGCTTGGCGTTAAGCGCCTTTAACCCCTGAACCAGCCCTCTAGCCTGGAGGAAGAGCACTCTAAAGGGAGCGTGCAGCGTGTGCACCGGTGCACGCGGAAGGAACGCTGCTCTGGCACCCGTGTCCATTAGCGTCCCAGCCCACACAGACACTTCCTTCCTTCCCCAGCTGTACTGCCCATCACCTGTGCGTGGTCACGTCTCTCGTCCTTTCTCTGTTCCCTTTACAAGTGGGTGTGATGGAGCTAAAGCATATTTACTTGACAGAAGCTTAATAATTCAACCGCAGGAACCTGCACAGGGACTTAAGAGAGGCCACGGGGTCAGGGTGAGGTGGAGACCGCTGGATGAGGAAGGACGGGGGAGGCGGGGTCCAGAGTGGGGCCACACAGTGGAGGGACGTGAGGTATGGCAAAGAAAGGGGTTGTGGAACAAGGGAGGAGTTGGGTAGAGAGAAGTGGGGACTTGGTACGTTAAGAAAAAAAGAAGATGGAGGGAGGGTTGGTAAGGATGGGAGTGGAGGGGTCCGACTGTGGGTGGGAGTAGAGGGAGAGACCGAGGTGGGTGCTGGGCAGCAGAGGACAGAGCGGATCGGAGTTCAGAGGCTGGAGGGAAATCACGCCCGGCGCGCTCCGGACGGCCGAGGAAGTCCGCGGCAGGGGCGTGGCTGGGGGTGTGTCACACTGGATTTCCCCGCCCCTTGGAGTTCCAAGTCTTCCCCCTTAGTCCCGCCTCCTCCTCGGGAGTAACAAGCCCACCTCCCAATCAGAGCCTTGGGCTGGGCAAGAAGCGGCCAATGGAGTGTCAGGGGCGGAGCTGGGGAGTGGGCTCCCACGGCCAGGGGAGGGGGCGCGGGGCGTCGAGGGCTCTGGAACTGCGAAGGGCGAGCCATGGCGTTGGGGCTGCAGCGCGTGAGGTACAGGGTTGGGATAGGATGATGGGGACGGGGGGCTCTCCCTCACGGGGGCTTGGGGGGACCCCTCATCTGTGGGGTGTGGCTCAAGTTGAGGACGCCCTGGGGCGCGCGATCGGGGGGCGCATCCCCGACGCACCCTCCACCCTAGAGGGTTGCAGGGGATCAGGGATTTACCCCAGAGCTCTAGCTGTCCCGCCCCCCTCCTCTGGAACGGCTTTGGGGTTGTGAGCTAGGATTTCCTCGATACAGGGGGTTCGATCCCCGGTCTGCCTGGGAGTGAAACTCCAAGTTCCTATGGATTGGAGGTGTGCTGAGCAGTGGCTGCTTCCCAGAGAGGCTTTCCTCCAAGCCCCTGAACTGAGTCTTTCTTGGCCGGCTAACTCTTGTGATAGGGAAAAAAAAAAAAAAAGAAAAAGAAAAAGAGAGAAGAAAAGACAAGAAAAAGAAACGAAGAGGTTTCCCAGACATAGGGAGTTCCTGGATGACTCCGCTTCTGAGTTCCAGACTAGAGCTTACTTTTCTGCCCTTTCTAATAATCCCCCAAGCTTCAAGTTGCCCTAGAAATGACCAGAGAGAATGTCTCTTTAGAGGCTATGTGGGACCCAACCAAGGTCTTTCCATTCCTAGTTGGGGAGGGGGATTCGCGCCTGTAAACCCGGCGCTTGGAAAGCTATGGGAGAATGATGCTTTCAAAGCCATCCTGGCCTACACGGCAAGTTCCAGACCAGTTTTGGTCTACATAGAGATCTTGTCTCAAAAAAACAGCAGTTTAAAAAGCAGGGTCACCCCTTCTCAATGCCAACGGAACAAGCCTGACCCACTTCCCAAAGCCAGGTTCTGAGTCTCATTCATCTGCCGCCACCCAGTCTGTAATTGTGGGAGGAGGCCCCACCCAAACCCTGTCTGAGGGACTATCTTCGGAGAGCAGCGCCCCCCTGTGGCCGAACACAGCTGGGGTCCTCCCGGAAAGAGGTGGGTTCTGTTCAAAGGACCGTAGGCAGCGGACCCCATTTGGTCAGGTTGCCGCTGGAGACCCCTAGGCCCCTCCTCCCCAGCTTCCTAGGTCTGACTGGTTTTCTCTACACCCTGTTTTTGCCCCCACCTCAACCCGTTCAGGCTCCCCTTCTCCCGTTCTATTCCAATCTCTGGCCCTGAGCCCACCGGGAAACTCCTTACCCCCCCAACCCCCGCATTGTAGGCCAGCCCTGGCGCCGCCCATGACAGCGCCCCCTATGGTTGTGTGAGAGGCCCCTCCTAACTGAACTAAGGTGCTCCCCGCTTGGCACTCAAGGTCAGCCCTTTCCTGTGGTGTCATCCCACGCCGCCGCACACCGACTCATAACTCGCACTCGCCTCCCGGCCGAGCTCCGGGCCCCCCTGCTCCCCCAGCATGGCACTTGGCATCAGAGGGGGCTTGAGTGATGGTGAGCGGGTCCCTCCGGCACCCACGCCCCGTGTACCCCCTTCTTCTGGCCTTCGGCTCCCAGCCGTCTCAAATGAGCACACCTGAAAGCAGGGCTCCCCCAAAAACCAGGACTGATGGCCGACACCCCACCAATTGACCGTATGAGAAGTTGGATCAAGGTCAGAGAGACTCCCCACTGACCCCTACCCCAAGTCCTTTCTCCAACCCAAACCATGCCCCTGGCCTCTCAGGTCACCTCCAGCCGATACCAAAGGGGTCTCCGCCCAGGATAAAGCTAAGCCTCCACTACACCTCAAATCCTCTACAGGTTTTGCAAACCCACCGATACCCAGCTTCGAGTCAGAGAGAAGCCCAAAATGTGAGAAAGGGGCTCTCTTAATTTCCTTTCAGGGTAGGGAAGAGATGGGGTCTTTTCTCTCTTAGCTAAGAGGCCACTGGGCCCCGAGTCCCTCTTCCCAGGCCTCACCCTGGGCCTCCAGGCCCCACCCTCTGTTCTCAGCTAGAACACGGAGTAAAGGTGGCAAAGTTCCAGGCGCACGTCCCAGGCTGGGCACACTGCCAAGGGGTTGGACCAGAGTTGGGCCAGCTAGGGAGATCTGCAGCAGTGCCAGGAGGAGAGGAGAGGAGAGGACTTAGGCCACCGGCAGCAAGGAACAGGCAGGGTTCCCTTAGGTGGTGGGCACCCTCCTGAAGAATAGCATTTTAGAGCACAGGCCCTAAAGTCAGGGTTCAAATCCCCAAGCTCCCACTTCCCGGCCGTGTGATCGTAGCCCAGGGATCCAGGGATTTCCCTCCCAGCGCCAGCTTCAAGGCTTGGCTAGTGGGAGTCACACACACACACACACACACACACACACACACACACACACAATGAGGTGCTGGGCTCTCCTAGATACCACTATGTGGCCTCTGGCGATTTCTCTCACCTCTCTTCGCCTTCCTGAGCAGGAAGGTTAATAGTAGGTAGGTGAGGCGGGTAAGAGGCTTAACTGAGAGGCGGCTGCACAGGCCAGGTTGGAATGGCCATGAGAGCCACACAGGCCAGCGGCGTCATTGCTCTGAGCCGCCGCCTCTATCTGAGACAGGCTAACCTCGAACTCACTTCATTCGGGGACGACCGTGAACTCCTGCCCCCACGTCCTCAGTGCTCAAATCCCAAGCAGGCCCCACCACACCGCTTATGTGGTGCTGCTAGGCAAATGCTCCAACACCTGAGCTACACACCTCAGGCCTCACTTCTACCTGTTAAAAAAAAAAAACTGCATTTGTTTGTTGTTTATTATCTATTATTTCTGAACCTGTGTGTATAGGGGAGGGGTTGTGCGGGCTTGCTGTGTGAAGGTCGGAGGACGCTTTTCGGGAGTCAGTTTTCTCCTCCTCCTCCGTGCGGGTTCCAGGTGTGGCCCTGTTTCTACCGTCTCATTGCTGTAAGGCAGGAACTGGGTCTCTACATTTCTGAGTGTGCAACACACCGTCACTGTTAATTTCATCCCTTCGAGGTGTTTGGGTAAAAGCTGGGCATATAATCACGCACACACACATACTCACATGCATGACTAACGAACGGCACACACGTGATTGCACATTCAGAGGCCCACAGGTTACTCCAGGGTTCGAGAGATTCATAAACTAGGGCCTTTCCTTGCTCACAATAACCAGTGGCCAAGCCTTGCTTCCTGAGCCTCTGACATATATTAACTTATTCAGTCTTCAGTCCACTGTAGGAATGCACCGTGGTGATGCAGGCCTGGGACCCTAGCACTCAGAGAAGAGGCTGAGGCAGAAGGATCTTGAGTTTGGGACCTATCCGAGCTACACAGTGAGACTGTCTCCTAGCCCACCTCGCCGGGCCCCCAAACCTACGCAAACAAAAACACCCTTTGAGGAGGTACAGGATATTACTATGCCCAGGGAGGTTTAGCAACCTTCCCAGAGTCACAGAGCTAATGAGCAACGGCTGTAATGCTCTCAGAAATGGAACCCTGACCCAGGACAGGCAGCCCCCACTGTTTCTCTGCGAGGCCAGAAAACCCGCGAGAGGCCCATACTTCCCGTCTGAACATCCGGAGAACAGACTGAGAGGGTTAGGAGGGTCCCTCCGCAGCCACCAGCTGGCTCCTATGGAGGAAGGAGCTCTGCCACCCTAGCCTTGGAGAGTAGTATTACAGAGCTCAGCTGCCTGGGAGGTGGGGCGCCGGCCCCACCCCCACCCCATCCCCTTCTCTCTCCCACTTCTCTATGTCCCAGGGCCCCCAGCTCAGTGAGGCCCGCCCACCCCCACCCTCTGGGCAGGAAGACAAACAGGGCTGGAACAGTACAGTACAGGACGGAATGTCCTCTGGGCAGGCAGGACCGAGGCCCCTGCCCCCACCAGCCAAGAGGGAGTTCACGGGGGCGCCCCCTTGGCTCCTCCAATACTAAGCCAGCCTGCCCCCTTCCGGGCCTCTCACCGCCTTGCACTAGCGGCTCCCCCACCCCACCCCCGCACGCGGACCAGAACATTTTGTAGCCGCTCCCACCCCCCAGAAGTGGCCTCTGCTCCCCCAATTGAAGACTTCGGAGAGAGCAGCCTCCTTCCTATCCTTCCTGGGGGAGGGGTTGGACAGCACATGGAGGTGGTTAGAGAAGGGCTTGAAAACTTAAGAACTGGGCTTCCCTAAGTACTGGTTGTGTGGTCTTTTGGGCAAAGGACTTCACCTTTCCGAGCCTCAGTTTACCCTTTGCAAAGTGGGTTAAAAATGCGCCCCCTCAGCCGTTGAGGCCAGGCATGGTGACAAGCCTATAGATTTGTAATACAAGCGCTCGGTGGAGGCAAGATCAGAAACCTAGGCTCATCCTTGGCTTGGGCTGTAGGAGACCCTGTCTCAAATAATAACTAGGTGCAGTGTCGCACGTCCTTAATCCCTGTTCTCAAGAGGCAGAGGTGATGGATCTCTTGAGTTCCGTCCCTGTGTTCTCAGGGCTACACAGAGAAATCCTGTCTCGAAAAACCAAATATAAATAAATAAATAAACAAACGTATATTTGGTCAAGTGTGGGGATACATATCTATAATCCCAGCACTCAGGGCATGCCGGCACCAGGACCCGCCTGATCCCTGTGTGGGGATAAATAAACTTTGGATAAACAACGTTGAGGGTTTTGTTTGTTTGGTGGCCTGTTTCTTGAGACATGGCCTCACTACATAGCTCTCTGACTGGCCTGGACCTGATTTGTGTAGACTAGGCTGGTCTGGGACTCAGAACTCTGCGTCACAAGACCTGGAGTTAAAGGCATGGGCCACTTAGGGGGGAAAATAACCTACTAGTGAAAATGAGTAATTGATAGATACTAATATTACTGATGAAAGCTATCTGTCTCTTCACACACACACACACACACTGGAAAAGTCAAGCATTTGAAGTGTATTAGCGGGGAGAGGTGGTGGGCAGAACACAGCGGATGGTTTGCTGTGTCACACTTGGTGGGGCCCTGCCCCTCTGAAGGCCCCTTTGGTGAGTCGTTAGACCTTGAGATAGCGCTGTCTGCGAGAGAATCAGCTTGGCTGAGGACGCGAAGCTGGGAGGGAAGGGGGCCTGGGAGGCTGCAGGCTCTCCGAGCTCCATCTCTCCTTTGGACTCTGGCCAGCTCTACCACCCACTCCCAGCGGGAGTCCTCCCTGTCCTCCAGGCCGAGACTCTAGCTCAGGATAAGAGCTGCGGCTAAGTCCTGGAGAAGACAGAGGGCCTTAGGCACACATTCTGGGGGGAGAAGCCTGGAGCGAGGCCCTGCAGAGAGGCCACATGGACTGGGACCCAGACAGGTAAAATTTGGGGGAAGGAGAGAAGCTGTCAGGCCCAGATATGTCGTCGAACCCCAAATGGAGGTGTCCCATGTGCAAAATCGTCGCGTGCAATTTCCTTTCCGCAGGTCGAGTACAGAGCTGCGGAAGGAGAAGTCGCGGGACGCGGCGCGCAGCCGGCGCAGCCAGGAGACCGAGGTGCTGTACCAGCTGGCGCACACGCTGCCGTTCGCGCGCGGCGTCAGCGCGCACCTGGACAAGGCCTCCATCATGCGCCTCACCATCAGCTACCTGCGCATGCACCGCCTCTGCGCCGCAGGTGAGCCCCGAGCGCCCCGCCCCCAGCCGCGGCCCGCCGCCGAGGCCCCGCCCCTGGGAAGCCTTCCCGCCTCCCTGGCCGCGTCATCGGCTCTCGGCGAGGCCCCGCCCCTTTGAGTGATGGACCAGTAGGAGCCTGAGGTTCAGGAAGACCCCTTGGGAGGCCCCACCCCTTAGAATCTAAGGGAGGCCCCTTGAGACCTTCGGCTTAGTGTTTTTGGGGGGGGGGGTTCTTTGTTTTTGGGTTGTTTGGGGGAAATTTTTTTTTTTTTGAGACAAGATCTCACTGTGAGCTCTGACAGGCCTGGAACCTGCTCTGTAGACCAAGCTGTCCTTGAACACACAGAGATCTGCTGGCCTCCACTCACCCACCTACTCACCCTGCCTTTGAGCGCTGGGGTTAAAGGAATGCTCCACCGTATCGGCAATTTATATGTTTGTTTTCTTTTATTTCTGGAGATTGAGCCCAAATCTAAGGGGTGCGGTACCCAAGCACTCCACCACAGAGCTATGCCCCTAGCCTCTCACTGGGGAATTCTAGGCAGCTCTATTGATGAGCCCTCTTTTTACTGTTTTATTTTGACAGAGGGTCTTACTAAGTTGCTCACGCTGGCCTTGAACTAGCTTGGTAAGCCAGGCAAGATTTTGTTCTTCTGCCTCAGGTTCACCTGGCCACCATGCTTAGCTACTCCTTGCCCACCCGCGGAGGCTCTACAGCCTTTTTTTTTTTTTCAAATTCATTGAAAGTCTCTTTTCATCATCTTTCCATTCCTCTAGTTTTATTTCCTATTCTCTTAACAGTCACCCAAAGAAGCGCTTGCATTACCGCTACCCCTACCATACACACACACACACACACACACACACACACACCTTAGAATCCTGGAAATTTGAAAAGTTTTATTATGGAGGCTCTGCCCATCAGATTCCCTTGCCCCATGGAATTCTAGGGAAGTCTTTGCCCCTTTGGGATTCTGTTAGTTGTCCTCTGACCTCCACATGCACAGGAAACAAACAAAATGTAATGGAACTCTGTCTTCTGGCTGGCCCTCCGTATCCTCCCCAAAGAATTCTAGAAAACTCACCCACCACTCTGGAATTCCAAGTGACCCTAGGCCACTTTGAATTTCAATTTCTCAGAGTTCAGTCTTAGACTCTCGGGGGATTTTGTCCCCTCTGGGAGTCCGTGTTCCTGTTTCCAAAGCTTAATGGCCTTGCTTGCCCTCTTCCTTGGGACTTCAAGCCCCTGGGATTTTCTCCCACTCACATGGGCATTTCTATGAGTTCATCTGGTTGAGAAAAGACGGAAGGAAGCGAGCTAGGGTAGTGCCATGACTGACCACAGCTGCCATATCGCCTTCCCCCGCCACCCCTCCGGCTTGGGCACTAGGGGAGTGGAACCAGGTGGGAACTGAGGGAGAGCCACTGGACGCCTGCTACCTGAAGGCCCTCGAGGGTTTCGTCATGGTGCTCACCGCCGAGGGAGACATGGCTTACCTGTCGGAAAATGTCAGCAAGCACCTGGGCCTCAGTCAGGTGAGCTGCCTGCTCTCTGCCTGCCTCACCCCCACTGGTGATGCTGGGGAGTTGTGGGGGGGGGAACCATGGTTTCCCACACTTAGCTCTTCCTTTAAGGGCAGAGGGAAGAGAGGAATGTCACTAGACAAAATGGTCAAAGCTGTGATGGAACAGCCTAGCTGTGGGAAATGTGGAACTGAGACCTGACCCAGCCTGGGCAGAGATGGACTTAGAGGTTCTTAGGAGAAAGAACATCTCAGCTGAAACCTGGATGACTTTGCCAGTCGCTGGGATGTGAGGGGAGGAGCAGCGAGGATCAGGAATGTGGATGGAGAAGTGCTGGCACATGCCAAGGTGCGGAGTCAAGATGAGAAGAGAACGCTTTGGAGAAATGAATAAGCTGGTTATGGACAGAGGACAATGGGAGAAGTTGGGGGTCGAGGAGAGATCAGACAGGCAATGGGTGGTAGATAATGTGTGTCCAGATGAGGTTTGTCTCCAAGACACTGGGGAACCACAGAAGGTGTCAAAACAAGAGAGAGGTTGTGCTGAAAAGGCAGAATCGTATTTATAGTTTATAGTTTATAATTTATAGAAAGGGAATCGACCCAGAGTAGCAGTTAGGAGATCAGCAGGGAGTGGACACCAGACTCAGGCAGGAGAAGAGCTGGGCAAGACTTTTGGAGACTAGAACTAGCTTTAATTCGTCCTTAAAGTAAGCCTTGTGTGAGAAAGTTTGTGTTCTTTTTTCTCTTTCATGTAAATGGCTGTGCAGTGGACCTCTGTTCCTCCTCCCTGATACAAAGCCCCTCTCCTGATACCAATTTCTCTGTGAGTGTGAGCTCTAGAGTCAGACAAGTGACTTCCCCCAAGGCCCAGCCTAGAAGGAGGTAGAGCCAGCCATCAAACCTAGTTACAACAAGTGGAATTGGAAGAATATGTCATCCAGACACCACTGGGTTGGATTTCACCTGTGTCCCCTCCCCCCACTACCGAGCTTGCTTCCTAAACTGAAACGAGAAACAGACTCTTGCACCTGCCCAGCAGATGTGACCTAGGGCCTTTGCATTCGTGACTCCTGTTTTTATTTTCTTTATTATTATTTTTTTTTATGGCTAGTAAAAGATTTATTTTTCTAATTTGGGGGGGAGGCCTGAGTGTGTGTTCGTGCACGTGCGCGTGTGCAAGCGTGTGCGTGCGCATGTATGTCCATGCACCATGTGTGTTGTGGGCGGATCTTGAATACACGAGTGTGCATCGCAGGCACCGCAGGTGCCTTCGGAGGCTGGAAGAGGGCATTGGCTCCCCTGGAACTGGAGTTAGCAGCAGCCCTCAGCAGTTGCCTGTTCCCAGGCCTTCCGTAAGGGCAGCCACCGCTTAACGAATGACCTGTGTACACCACTACCACCCCTTTTTTTTTTTTCTTTTTTTTAATTTTTGGAAACAGAGTCTTACTCTGTAGACCAGGCTGGCCTTAAAACTCACAGAGATCAACCTGTTTCCACCTCCTGAGTGTTGAAATTAAAGGCATGGGCCACCCCACTCTGCACGACTCCCATTTTTAAAGAATTCTCTTACTCTGGAGAACCACAGACTGGCTTCACTTACCTTGCCGAGCTTCCCTCCCTCACCTCTTGAAACAGCATCTCATATAGCCCAGGCTTGCCTCGAACCCACTAGGTAGCAAAGGACGACCTTGAACTTCTGGTCATCCAGCCTCCAAGTCCCCATTTCTGGCATTATAGGTGTTTGACACAATGTCTAGACGATGTATCTGGTATCAAATCCAGGGCCTAGTAAGCCAGTGCTCTACCGGCTGAGCCATATCTACAGCTCAACATGTTCTTTGCAAATGTTGCCTCCTCAAAAAACTGTTGTGGGCACTGTCTTTAAACCAGTATCTCATTATGTGACCATACTGAGATGCCCCCCATGAACATACATATACACAATCTCACCCAGTGAACTCTGTTCTGTGATTTGGGGTGGGGGGTGAAGGGTGAGGGAGGCTGGTTTTTCAAGAAAGGGTTTCTCTGTGTAGCCTTGGCTGTCCTGGACTCACTTTGTAGACCAGGCTGGCCTCAAACTCAGAAATCCACCTGCCTCTGTCTCCCCCAGTGCTAGGATTACAGGCCTGCGCCATTGCGTCTGGCTCCCAGTGAACTCTGAAAGGCATGGATCCATCTATAATATGTCCAGTCATTTAGAAAGGGTCCAAGTAAATATTAGGTGCTGACAAATGGTTGCTGAATGAATGAGTGAGGGAATGAGTAACTGAGGAGGCAGATGACATTACCCAGACTACCAATTTGGGGCAGAAGCGATAAGCAGGGGAAAGAGGAGCCCAGGGGTCCTGTGAAATGTGTTTTCTCTCCACTATCCACTCTACCCTTCCCCAGCTGGAGCTCATTGGACACAGTATCTTTGATTTCATCCATCCCTGCGACCAAGAGGAACTCCAGGATGCCTTGACCCCCAGACCAAGTGAGTGCCCAACTTCAGGGTAGGAAACTGACCCAGGCTTCCTCTCCCTGATCTGGAATATCTGCTGAGAGAAAAGTGGAGAAACGCTACAGCCTTGGACTACCTTCTCTGGGGCTCCCTTCCCAGGGGCTCCCTTCCCTGGTTCCAGGTCCCAAGTCTGAAGCTAGGAAAACAAGATTTTATTTTTGCCAAATGTCTTGGTGCATACCAGCATTCAAGAGGCAGAGGCAGGCAGATCTCTGTGAGTTTGAGGTCAGCCTGGTCTACATAGTGAGTTCCAGGACAGCCAGGACTACATAGTGAGACCCTGTCTCAAAAAAGATTTTATTTTTTGTTTGTTTTGGGGGTTTTGTTGTTTTGGTTTTTGAAACAGGGTTTCTCTGTATAGCCCTGGCTGTCCTGGACTTGCTTTGTAGAACAAGCTGGCCTCAAACTCACAGAGATCTGCCTGCCTCTGCTTCCCTGAGTGCTGGGACTATAGGCCCAGCTGGTTTTATTTTATTTTAAGTGGGGAAGGCAGAAGGGGTGGGAGATGATTGTGCGTGTGAGAGCAGGTGACTTCAGGCCCCGAGTGGGTTTTGGAGTTACAGATGGTTGGGAGCTAACTTGATATAGATTCTGGGATGCAAGCTCCGGCCCTCTGCAAAAGTAGTATCCTCTCTTTACCTTTAAGCCGCCTCTGAAGCTGGGAGACTTTAACATTTCCTTAATGACACGTCCCGTCCCTTCTCCGTGCGTTCCAGGCCTGTCCAAGAAGAAGCTGGAAGCCCCTACCGAGCGACACTTTTCCTTGCGCATGAAGAGCACACTTACCAGCAGGGGGCGCACGCTCAACCTCAAAGCTGCCACCTGGAAGGTGGGCGGGCCCTGGTCTCTGTCGGGTGGGTCTGACCCCTGAAAGTCTCACTCCACATTGGAGTTGGGAGTCTCCGAGGCTCAGAGATTTGGCGGAACTCCTTCAGACTGAGTCCCATAGGGCATTAGCGCACCTCCGAAACTGAGTATCCCGGGCCAGACAGTGAGGAAGGAAAGGTACTCAGCCTCCTGGACGCTCCCAAGTTTCCCGAGGGTTGGGATGAAGATCCCGGAGCTCCTCTCAACTTTAAAGAACGATCAAGAGTCTTTTCTCCCCGGTTCCCTAGGGGACCCAGACACAGGTGTCCCAGCCCCGTGGGTAGCCCGGGGCTAAGATTGGTACTCCCAACACCCCACTTCACCCCAAGGTGCTGCACTGCTCAGGACATATGAGGGCCTACAAGCCCCCTGCACAGACGTCCCCTGCCGGGAGCCCTCGCCCCGAGCCTCCCCTGCAATGCCTGGTGCTGATCTGTGAAGCCATCCCCCACCCCGCCAGTCTGGAGCCCCCCCTGGGCCGAGGGGCCTTTCTCAGTCGCCACAGCCTGGACATGAAGTTCACTTATTGCGATGAGAGGTGGGAAGTGGCTTTGTGTGGCGCCACGTCCACACACCGACGCTCTATCTCCGTGTGTGTGTGTGTGTGTGTGTGTGTGTGTGTGTGTGTGTGTGTGTG